ACAAGGGCCAGTACGGGCATGGGGCATGGGATTGGCACTGGCACGGGCATGGCAGCGTGGGCACTAGGATGAGCATGGGGTATGGGACATGAACATGAAACAGGCACTGGCACAGGCATGGGACATGGGGCATGGGACATGGCACATGCACTGGCACAGTCATGGGACACCAGCATGGCAGGGATGTGGCCCTGGCTCTGCTCCTTGCTATGGGATACTGGCAAAAGGGATTTTCTGACCCGTGGGTTCTGCCCTGCTTCCAATCCCCGAGCAGGCACAGGGCACGCATCGTGCAGGGGCTGGTGCTGGGTCACTGCTGTGGCATTTGTGCCTGGGAAAGGAAAAAATTCCACCTTGGAGCAACGGTGAACAGTGGGAAAAGCCAAAGCAGCCAGGCTGGGCACTGCCTGCACCCAGAGCWGCCCTCACTGCCTTCAGCAAAACCAACGGGCTCTTGGAGATGATTAACCCCGAGCAGCTGTGCCCCAGGCAGCTCATGGTGACAAAAACACTGCCCTCGCTGTCCCCACAGCCACCTTCCCCCAGGCTGGTGTTCAACAGCCAGCATTGCCTCTGCCTGCACTCTGGGGGAGCTGGAAATGCCGTCACCATCCCACATCCCCGGCTGTGGTTGCATTCCCAAGTGGATACTGGGTACTCTCACACYTTCCCAAAGTGCCCTAAAATCCCAAATGCTCCAGGGGAGCCYCCAGGGAAGATGGGCAGCAGATCAGCAGGAGCTGTCAGTGTTTCCCCCCTCAGACTCAGCACACAGATGGTTGGGGGGCACCCCAGTTTTGCCAGTCAAACCCATTTCCAGCATCTTAGCAGTTTTTAACTGAATTTTTGGGGTTGAAAAAGCCCAGAGTAAGGCATCCTGGCCTAAACCCCTTAGGAGAGGACCAGGAAGGAGGGATCAGGGTGTGGCCCCAAGGCTGCTGGGGGAAGCACCAACTTCCCCTCRGTACCACAGACATCCTCAAAATGATCTGTCAGGAAAACCAGCCTGAGCCAGCTCTGACCCCAAGAYCTGTCCCTTCTCCAGCCTCCCAGGTCCCTCTGTTATTCCACAGGGTTCAATCCCACACCCACAACTGCTGCTCATGCAGGCCTGGCCATCCCAATTTCCATGATTTGGACCAGAATATCMCTGGACAGAGTGAGGGGAGCAACCACCACCTCTCCCCCTCTGCTCTGGTGTTCCTTCCCAGCCCTGTGTGGAAAAGGGGGTGAGGAAAAGCTGCTCCCCTTCCCTGTCTGGCTGTGCTGGGGTCTCCAGCCCTGGCTCCTCACCCACATCCCCCTGAGCTGGGAAAGGGGGTCTCAAAGGTTCTAAAACCTGTGATCACCAACCCACTGTCCCTGCTTGGAGCATCCACCATCCTGAGACATTTTGGTCCCCAGCAAATGCCCTGGAGTGGGCAGTGWCCYGCCAGTGTCCCAGTGYCACCAGTGTCCCAGTGCCRCCAGTGTCCCAGTGCCACCCAGCCCGRGGCCAGCAGGGTGTCAGGGTGGGGRCTGCCCRTATCMRAGCTGTGGTRTCAGGAAGGCAATGCACAGCATCATTCCCACAAACAGCCCTCTCCACCCACCACGGGGTGGATTTTCCCATCCCTGCCCTCCCAGCTTTCCCCTCCAAAGCCCCCATCCCCACGCAGCCTGTTGGTTCTCAAATTTTCTCATTAAACAAGTGCCACTCTTTCCTTATTTATATTTTCATCCAGATGCGATGGATACAAGAGAACCACTGGGCTGCTGAGGAGCTGAGTGTCCCCAAGGGCAGGGGGACACACCTTGGGGACACCCTGCAGCTTTCCTGCATCTCCCTCCRTGCGCTGTGGCTTTTCCTGCAGACAAGCGATGCTCGGCCTCGCTGGGCAGACTGACAGGGAGATGGAGGAGCAATATAAATACCTCKCTCCTAAATAGCCTGCTGGTATTTATAGCCTGCGCTTGGCACTGAGTCCGGTGCCTCTGACAAACTCAGCTCGGGATTATTTTTAAGGAAGCATCGAGGAGAGCAGGTTTTGTGGYGAAGGATCGGCGCTGGCGGCTGCCTGACCCGGAGCTGTGATGGAGCACAGGCCTTTGTCACCTGCTGTCCCTCCAGGCACTCCCGTGCTGCCCTGTGTCCCCAGGCACTGAGTGACAAGGTGAACCTCTACGTGGCCATACATATATCATAAATATAAATAAATCCATATGCATGCACCTGCAGGCACAGCCCRGCTCTGGATCGCTGCCATGTGCTCTGGCTCTGTGCTTGCACCAGTTTCCCGCTTCCTTTCCCATTTTCCCCTCTTCACCCCATCACAGGCTTGGAAGGGGGAGCACAGAGGTGCCCAAATCCCCCGGGTATGGCCCTGGGAGACAGCCACAGCGTCTGGCAGAGCTGGCAYCCAGCCCGGAGGGAAAGCTCAGCGGGTGCTGTGCTGGGTGCAGGGTGCGGGGTGAACACACAGCCTTTGCCCCCAGATTTRCAGCCCTGCCGTGCTCGTGGTGGCTGCAGGGTGGCTGATCCCCTGTTTGTGTGTGTGTGAGAAGATTTTACTGGGAAAAAATCCTGGTTCACCCCAGGGACACACCTCCACTGCAGCCCTGGGGGTGGGACGGGAAGGTTCCCCACAGCCCCATTGTGGGGTGGGGGGCAGTGCTTTGCTCTGGCAGAGCCTGGTGCACGGGGAGGGGGGCATTTGGG